TTGACTAAAGCTGAATGTATTCATGACCTATGACCTGACAAAAGATATGTATCAGAATAATCACAGCACAGTTTATAATAGCCAGAGATAAGAAACATTTCAATATTTGAGTAGAGACAAATGGATAAGTAAATTGTGATATATTTACAAAATGGAATAACCTAGAATGATGAGAAAAAGGAACATATAATATAAGGATGTAATATAATAATAAAAGAACATATAACAATATGTACAATGGCATGGATGAATCTTATAAATATATTATTGAATAAAAATACTAGACATATGTCTGATTCAACTAGCACATACGATTTTGAATTTTTAAATATATAGAAATGTACAGAGGCCACAGTAAACAACCTTGTATTCAACTCAAATTTAACAAATGTGATATTTCAGAATGCTTTATTTAAAACAAGAAAAAATTGAAAAAAACCTTATTTATCCCATTTCCTTTTCCTCAGGGTCAATCTCTGTCCAAAGGTGCTAAGTATCCTTCCCAATCACACTGTTGTAATAACATTTCACATATAAACATTTCTGAAACATTCACTAGTTTTTGGATGCTTGAAACTTTTTCATAAGTGCTTTCATACTTTCTCTTTTTAGTCAACATTATGTTTTCAGGATTTATCCGTGTTATCTAGTTTACTCAAATATCACTTATTTTTAGAATTTATTCCTCTGCGGAAGATAACTGAGATGCTTTTAGTTGTTTTGACAACGGAAACCTTATTTCAAAGTTGGTATATGTGCTTGACACCTGATGGTATAACTGCATTCTCTGAGTTATGTAATTAGAAGGATTAAGCCTTTTTTTCTACCTCTGTTGTGTATATTCAATTGAATAATCATCGTTACTCTTTTTCAAACATAGTTAAGCGCAGCATTCGGTTGGAGTACACTTATAACTTGATAGCATATACTCTCCCTCACACGCATATGTGTAACTCTGTTAACAGGATTCCACAATGTAATACTTACCCTTGGGGCCGGCATTGTGGCATAACGGGTTAAGGGACTGTCTGCAGTGCCAGCGTCCTGTCTGGGCACTGATTTGAGTTCCAGCTGTTCCACTTCTGATCCAGATCCCTGCTAATGCACCTGGGAAAGCAACAGAAGATGGCCCAAGTCCTTGGGCCCCTGCACCCATGTGGGAGACCCGGAAGAATCTCCTGGCTCCTGGCTTTAGCCTAGTCTAGACCCCGCCAGGGAGGCCATTTGAGGAGTGAACCAGAGGATGGAAGATCTCTGTAACTCTGCCTTTCAAATAAATAAGTAAATCTTTAAAAAGAAATTCTTTATTTCAGTTTGTTTGCACACAGATAATCTTGTCTTTCTTTCCTCAACTGAGGTCTAACAAGTGTGACTACAAGCTCCCTGCCAATGCAGACCTGAGAGAAAGAAGACATTTCTAGTAGTTGAGCTCCTGCCATCCATGTGGAGATCTGAGTTAAGTCCTTGTCAAAGTTTTGGCCTGGCCTTGTTGTAGCCACTGTGGATATCTGGGGAGTGAACAAGTGGAAGGGAGCTCTATCAGTCTCTGTCTTTCTCTTAATCTCTGCCTCTCAAAAAATACAATTTTTTAAAAAAATTTATTTTATTTATTTGAAAGACAGAGTTACAGAGAGAGGTAGAGACAGAGAGAGAGAGAGAGTGAGAGAGAGAGAGGTCTTATATTTGCCGGTTCACTCCCCAAATAGCTGCAACAGCTAGAGCTGAGTTGATTCAAAGCCAGGATCCAGGAGCTTCTTCTGGGTCTCCCACTTGGGTACAGGGGCCTAAGCACCTGGGCCATCTTCTACTGCTTTCCTAGGCACAATAGCAGGGAGCTGGATGGGAAGTAGAGCAGCCGAGACTCAAACTGGTGCCCATATGGGATGACCACGCTGCAGGACAGGGCTTTAAACTGCTGTGCCACAGTGCTGGACTCCCAAAAATAGTTTTTAAAATTAGTAGATAATTGTTTCAAAAAGTACACTCCTTTGGCCTTGGGTTCCATGTAACTATGCCATTAGCTTGAGAGGGTAAAATTGGAGGAAAAACCATTTAAAGAATAATAATCCCAATAAGTCAATGTGTGTGTGGGGAGTGATAATGACATGACATATCAAGGTAAAGGGAAAACCATTTAGAACATTAGTTTTCAAAGTGCTTTTAGCCTAGAAACACATTCAGCATAAACTGAAGCTATGCTTTTCATTGCTTGTGGGGGCTGTGGGGAGATTGGGGACTTCAGTGAAATGCTGTTCTTGATGATTCTAAATATGCTGTTTCCTCCATGTGAAGAGTAATGCTTGGACAGAGCTTAGCACAGACGGTTGGGAACACCATACTGAAATCAGTCATCTTCCCAGGGTCTTTTGCAAATACTTTTGACTTGCTCTGTAAGGCACCAGACACAAACGAGGGCCCCCATATTTTTATCTGATCCTGTGCTTTCCTCTTCACTGACAGAGTCTACACGAATGCAGTAGAAAAAACAAGCATGCTATGAAAATGTACCATATAGTGATTGCTGCTAGCTGTCTTTTTTTTTTTTTTCTTTTCTTTCTTTCTCTGCCTTTACAGTCTCTTGCTACGTGTAAAGTGGAGCTGATGAGTCACCACCTTCTAGAAACAGCAAGGGTGGTGAGTCATTCCTCTAGGGCTGCAGTTTCCGCAGTCCCACTCCCCCTAACCGTTTAACCCGTGATTATCCCTCAGCTGCTAATGGGAACCTGTTCCCTGTGTGCTTTTATTTCCATAAATCCACTCGACATTATTCTGTGGGGAAAGGGATCCCAAAGATTACTCACAGCGCTATTCCTCTGTGCTTAGTGACTTTCTTTCTTTTGTTGCTTGGGGAGTTCCACGTGCCCTTAGAGTTTCAGCTAGAGTTAATTTTGGGAAAATTTTTTAACTTTTTTCCTCTGAATTCTACCATAAGTATAACATATACTGTTATTATTATATGTTTATCCATGTATCACAAATCCCAAATACATAAAGCAATTCTACTCAGTTTATGCAACTGGGTAACAACATAAATAAACCAAAATGAGACTGTAAGTTTATTTTAGATTGCTGTATTTCGTAGAAACATATGGATTTTTTCTTCATTTAATAATAATATTGTTATGAACGTATGTTCCAACATTTCCATCCCCAAAGTTAGGAATACAAATGCAAGTAGAAGAAGCAAAGAAAAGAAGACCCTATTTTGCATAATTATCTTTTCCCTTCTCAGCTAACAACATAAATATAGTACTAGAAAACTAGCCTACATCTGCCAAGATCAGTTAGCAATAATATCAATCAAATTAGTGGGTAATTAATTAGTTCTTATTTTCAACATATACATATGGTAGGTGCCAAAAATTTAGGCTGACATTTTCTCAGACATTTAGATCATATGACCATCCTATTTGAGGAGACATTGACTTCATTGAAATTGGCATTGAGAATTTATAATGTGTTATAGATACCGCTAATGTTAAGGATATGGTCTCATTGACTTTTTTAAACCTGACATATAATTACCTGAAATATTTCTGAGGAAAGGAGTTGGAAAAGAACAATTCACTGACATGCAACCAAACTGAACCAGATGTTGTAAGGGAGTCCATCATTGTACAGTATTTAGTGGAAATGTAATATTATTTAGGATTTCATGAAGAATAAAAATGAACCACAGTTGAAATTACCAAAATAAATTTCCTATCCTTATATCAGGTGGAAATTTTCTTATGGTACCTATTCTGAAGTGATTGCTACTCCATTAATCCTTTTAATTTACATTTCTAGTTCCTTACTATTTTTTTTAAAGATTTATTTATTTAAGAGGCAGAGTTACAAACAGAGAGAGAGAGAGAGAGAGAGAGAGAGAGAGAGAAAGGCCTTGATCTGCTGGTTCACTTCCCAAATGGCTGCAATGGCCAGAGCTGGGCTAATCCAAAGCCAGGAGTCAGGAACTTCTTCTAGATCTCCCATGTGTGTACAGGGGCCCAAGCACTTGGGCCATCTTCTACAGAGAGCTGGATGGGAAGTGCAATAACCAGGACTCAAACCGTTGGCACCACAGGTGGAGGCTTAACCTATTATATCACAGCACTGGCCCCTGGCCCCTGGCCCCTTTTTTTCTTTTTCAACTAGTTTGCAATGTCAAAATTTATGTATAACTGATCCAATTCAAAAGAATTAATATAGATAGACCTTCCTCTATCATCAATGGTTTTGCTGAATGTCACAGTGATGAAAATTTTAGCATTAACTTTGTTCAAAAGTTTGAGACAATATTGAAATTTATATCATTTCTATTTCTTATTGATATCAACAACTATACATAGGCACAAAAATCTATATTCAAGATAGGAAAAATATCGGTGAAATATAAATAATTTATTCAGCACTATATAATGCTAAAATTTACAAGTAGATATTATTTCTCAATTGTCACTAGAATTTTAGTGGATAGACAACCTGGATAACATTATTCTTACTACAAAAGCAGTAGCAGGCTCATGGAAATTAAATACATTCCTAAGGTCACACAGTAATAAGCAATGGAGTTGCTATTCAAGCCTAAAGATTTTTGTTTGGTTGATTGTTTTAGTTTTAAAATCAATACACTTTCCATTCTACAATCTACTTAACTAAAAAAAGAGTGTGAAAGTGTGTCAGTCATTGGCACTAGGATTGGGGTACATCATACTGTACACTTGAAAATTATTGCATTCTATTTCTTCTGGGGAAAAATCTACAAAATAAACAAGGGAGAAAAGTCTGCTTCCATTTCTTTCCCTTTGTGCTGTCAGCTGAGTTGGTTTAGTGAGTAGTTTTGCAAGACTTGTTTCACTTTGTTTTTGCACAAAGCTGTGCCTCTTACTTCAAACAAAAGGCAGCCAATTACTAACGTCTGGTTGCTAGGTGTGGCCTCCATTCAAACGCTATAAATTCAGAAGTCCAAGACTCCACTTCTGCAGTGAAACCTTCAGAGGAGACTCTCCCCAGTTCTCTGGAAGAAGGAAGAGAAAAAGGTACGTCTACGTGTTTCTTTTAGTCAGCTTTGGTTTGTTTTAAAAACTTCTCATTACAATGTTAAATGTTACTGCTTCTATGGGATTTCTGGCTAATTGCATCTAATAGACTTTGATAAATCTGTAGAATGACACTGGTTACTTATATTTTAGGAATCATAAATTGTTCTGTTTTGCCTTACTTAGTTAAGAAGTAAAGTTTGAAAACATGGTTAAGTTTGTTTAGTACTGGCTCATAGGACTGTTCTGAGTTACCATGGTAAAGAAAGAAAGAATGTGTTTTGCCTCTGGTAGCCTTAAAAGAATGTATTTCCTTTCCTCCTCCAAGGAATGTGAGTTTCCAAGAGCCACGTCTGTGCTTCTTTCGACACAAAAATTAGAGTGGGGAGTGGGTGACTGTGGGAAGCAGATGAACAGAGGGGTAGCAGTGGGTTGCAGGAAATGGTTTCATAACAGTAGGCCCATCATAATTTATTTTCCTCTTTTTAAAGAAAAACTAAATAGATTCAGATCTCAGAGTAGTAACCATGCACTTTCTAATTAACATTTGGAAATTAATGTTATGTTTACTCATGCAGATTAAAATAAGATGGTCTGCTTATTACTCATTTCACTTAAACAGGGTGTGGCCACATTCTTCTTCCTGTAATCTCTGTGTCATAGACAGGCTTTTCAAGTGCTGGTTTGAAAGCCTAGGGGGAAAGGAAACATTTCCTGGGTGGTGTCCCATATGTTATTCCATGGGAATGCCAATGAGGCCTTCTAAAAACTATTCTCCTTATCAACATCTTGATTGCAGAATGAGCTCATGACCGTGAAACTCCTGACAGAAGCACAAAGCAAATCTAAAGACTTTTTACTAGGATATATACTTTTACTAGAATATACATGGATATATTTGCAAAAGGGAGAGGTTATGAATCGTAACCATATTTCTAATTATTCTTTTTATGAATGTTCCATCAAGGATTTTCCTTGTAATTCATTTTAAATGCTAAATGCTCTGATTCCTAATTTTAATGCTAGCTGATTAAAGATAATGTGCTTTTCTTGCCTTGTTTATGCCTAAAATTATATGTGATCTTTGATAAAGCAATGTTCCCCTCTGTCCACAGGAATGCATTTTGGTAGCTGTAAGAGAAGGCATATTACAAATGATTTCAATGTGGTAAATTGTTGGTTTCGTAATTCTGAAATGGCCTCTCCCCCAGAAATTACATGATCACCCCAGTCCCAGGCGCTCCACTTCTGGAAGATATATAATTTTTCCTGATATTGACGATAATAACAATAAAGAAGTAGCTAACATTTCACTCTTATTAAATATTTGATCAATTAAAAAGTTGCAAAGGGTGATTTCTGATACGATGTTAGCTACCTGTGCTGGTTGTTCTTAATTGTTTCTACACCCATTAATTGATGACTTATATTTAAATATAACAACTTACCCAGGGGATTCGTTTTTTTCGGTCATGAACTTAAGCAGCTCTTTGAAGTAAAGTATTTTCTTTCCCTTTAAAATTGGATAGATTTTTATAAGAAAGATCAAAACAGTTTCCATTTATAGAGCTTCTTCCTCATTGTGCTAATTTTTTTCACTTCCTTCTACTGGGGGTGAAATTTAATTTTGGGGCTTCAGAGATGCAAGTGACCTTAGACACCATTTATTCCAGTATTCTTATTTTACACCCTCTAGACATGTGAAATGTTCTCTTGAGGTCAGATTACAACTTGAAGAGAATCAAAGTATGGCCCAGAATCCTTCAGTTCTTACTTTTCTATCCTAGAGTGGTGGGTAGAAGATGTTTGTTAAGTTAATGTAGATTTATTTCCTAAGATATTAACAATGCTATATCATTTATCCATTCAATAATACTTACTAACATATTAAATACCAAGGATTTTGTCAGGGATTGAAGATAATAATGATTAGTGAAGCAATTCTCTGATATAATATGGTCCCTGTAAGGACTTTTCAACTGTACAAGGATGCAAAAGCTGTATTTCTTTCATAGAAAATGTACTTGGGATTCAGAACTTGATGTTTTCCAGCCTGGTGATTTGCTCAAGCATCAGCAGCCACAGCTCCTGGTCAGCCTTACAATCATGAAGGAAAGCATCCAGTACCCAACAGTGTACTGTTTTGCTATGCTTTATTATAAAATGGACTTTGTGTTAACATTACCGTATATCGATGCTATCTAACATGTTCTGAGTTCTGCTTAGGCTAAGCTGTGATGTGTAGTAGGTTAGTAGCATTTTGGAATTAATAGCATTTTCACCTTTACAATGCATCCATCAGGACATAGCCCCATAAGTCAAGGGGTATCTGTATAGTAGTACCGCCCTCACAGAATGTTCTATATAGATAGAAGAAATGAAAATACAGAATAGTGAAGTTAGTAGAAAGGTACAGCAAGATGCTTTGAGATGCTTTGAGAGAGCAGAGAAGGGCTCCAATCCAGTGCCAAACACCCAAATCCTGTTAAACTGCGTCCTCACTTTGCAGTAACAGTTAGTGAGGCAACGGGAAGTGGATGTGGAGGAGGAAGGAGCATCCCAGGCAAGGGAAACACCCTCCTTAAAAGTCTGGAGGCAAAACAGCTTTGAGTCTACCTTTCATAAAGTGCTCCTTCAGAGTCATGCCATTAGGTAGTCTGATTGCCTTCTCTCCAATGGCTGGCGTGGGAGGGACTTATGAAATACCTACTCGAGGAAAAGCTATGCATAAGGCAACACATTTAAAAATAAACACCCCAAGGCTGGGGTGAAACATTCCGTAGTCCTCATGGGTTGTTTGGTAATGAATCAGATTTATTAGCATGAGTTATTAAAAATAACATTGATCTATCTTTGGTGACTAATTTAAAAGTAAGTATAACACTTTGGAATTAAAAATCAGGGACTTATGTCTTGATTCATGTCCCTACTAGCCGGAAGACTGCCTGAAAATTGCACCCTATTTTGTCACATTGAAAATCAAGATAATGATGATGAGGCTGTTGTTTCATTCCAGTGTTAGTAGTTACTGCCTATCACCGCAGTAGTGTAATGGCTTCGCTTCTTACCAGGAAGGTGTGATAAATCACGGCACTCAGCTTTCTCTGTCACAGAGTCTAGGAGCCTCTCATGGGGCTGAGAAAGATGCAAAATAGAGACTCTCTTAGGACGCATAAATATACAAAAATTGCTTATCTTTTGAAAGCTACGCGTTTAACCACAGGTAAGCTGAGAGTGGTGCACAGTGCATAGTCACAAAATGTCATTAATTAGAAGAAAGATGGAATATTATTAATTTCCATAGGTCAGCCAAGGTATAAATGGTCAATTTCATCTTCTAAGTCACTAATGCTAAGCCCTGAGATAAACTCGAATTTTGAGCTCATTGGAAGCCAGTTGAAGTATATAATTATCTAAACTGAGTCAATAGAATAGGCTCTTGAAAACCTAGCACAGCATCTAAATATAATAAAATAGACAAAAATTAAAATATTTTGTAACTCATGAGAGTTGTCTGGCTCTTGGGTATTCAGTAGGCCAAATAGCTTAGCAATGAAATTTAGCCAAATTGAGATTTGCTGTGATGTTTGTGGACTGTGTTAACGATTTTTCGGAAGTTCTGTAGTAACATATAATTGGCTTTGAGCACTCACCTAGCAACACATGATACCAGTTGCTTTCTTCAGAGCAGTTCCTTACATCCTGCCGTGATCCTTGAGTCTTTGCTTTGTGGAGAGCCAGTGAACGTCATGGACTGACTTGAGATCCCGTTTTCCTCTTATTGCTTTCCTGAAGAAGGTTATTCTGGCTACTTTCCATTTGTAGACATCTGAAAGCTTCAGACTAAAATATAAGCACTCAGAAGATTTAAGTCACAAAGCTATACCCCTGGGAACAGGCTCTTGTGTCAAATAAATTACTCAAACCCCTTAGTTTTGTTATTTTTGTGTTAGGTAATTAATATGACATGCCATGATTTTCCTAGGTGTTCTTATTTTTTTTTTGTTTTAAGAAAGTGATGCATTATGCAAATTAGATTTTTAGTGAAGTGAACTTTTCATAAAATGTATTTTAAAGTTATCAGACTTTCAATAGTACCATTGACGATATTCTTAATGTCAGCTTTGCTCCCTTTTGAAGTTTTTCTTTTCTAACTGAAAAGCGTGGAATTACTGAAAATGTTTTATAAATGATAGGACCGTACTTAAAATCACCAGTCCTGTCACATATTTTGAGGATTCTATTGTAATAAAGGATTGAAGGAGATGAGGAAAATGGAGACTTCAAAGATTTGAAACTTGGCCAGAATTGCTATGAAGTTTTGGGTGAGCCAATACAGCAACTGGGGTCTGAAACTCTGTGTAGCAACAGCAATTGCACCACAAGGACGTAATAGGAAGGAAAACCTTGTGCAAAATTGTTCAACAAGACTTTAGGAAGCAACTTTTTTTTTTATTTTGTATTTTTTTTTGACAGGCAGAGTTAGACAGTGAGAGAGAGAGACAGAGAGAAAGGTCTTCCTTCCGTTGGTTCACCCCCCAAATGGCCGCTATGGCCGGCGCGCTGCGCCGATCTAAAGCCAGAAGCCAGGTGCTTCCTCCTGGTCTCCCATGCGGGCGCAGGGCCCAAGGACTTGAGCCATCCTCCACTGCCTTCCTGTGCCACAGCAGAGAGCTGGACTGGAAGAGGAGCAACCGGGACAGAATCCGGCGCCCCAACCAGGACTAGAACCCTGGGGTGCCCGTGCCGCAGGCGGAGGACTAGCCAAGTGAGCTGCTGCGCTGGCCAGGAAGCAACTTTAAATATATTGACCACTGGAGAGATGAGTATACTATAAGTGAAAGCACAGCATGTTAGTTCTCACATGTGACAGGGTAGTAACTTAAACAATCTCCATGGTAATTATGTGAAGGTAGCTTTTGCCTTGTGTATTCTTTTCTTCAAATATTCATCTCATTATCTGTTACTATTGTCATTTTTCAGCAAGTGTAGATTGGAATATTTCGCACATGTTATTACGGAATCAGGTTATGGGTTTTACTCTGTAAGTTATTTAGCTTCATGTCACTGCCAAGATCATCTTTCCAACCTCCCTCAGCGTATTTGTGATAGTCATCTCTGAAGAGAAGAAACAGAAGGGGACAGAAAGATGGGTTAGTGTAGACCTTGAGCATGGACTCCTAAAAACCCAATCTCAGACCAAGATTATTGATACCTTTTTTTTGTTGGAGAAAAAGAACACATTTAATACACGTCAGTTTTTAAAAGTATTCACATTTCATTAAATAAAAAAAATTGTCCGACTGTAACAGCCATGTCAGAGATTTCCTTTAAGCTAGAGTTTTTCAGAAGGCCATGCATGTTGTAACTTTACCCCAATGCTTCCTGTTAGAACTAAACACCTGTGTAAAATAATCCCCTTCTGTTCATTTTTTTTTGATGGGTGTGTATGTATGTGCTGGGTGGTAAAACATGCAGGACTAGATCAGTTGGAATAGACGCAAGGATAGCAATGACTCCAAATGCTGAAAGAAGTCTAACCCAAGGAATGGAAAAGAAATCTGAATTATTTGGGAAGAAACATATGGATTGAGTTTTGAGTCTGACTACTCAATTCTTTTTTTCACCTGTCATTTTACTTTATAACGTAAAGATTATGCTTTTGCTCTCTTTTTTCTTTTTGTATAGGCTTTTTTTATTCCAACATAGAATCTCAAATGGCCTACTAACTGGCCTCTAATCTTCCCTCTTGCCCATCTCTTAATCATTCTCCTTGTTATGGGGTGAATGATCTTTCTGGAAGGTACATGGAATCACACCACCTTCTTTCTAATAGTCCTTTAATGTTTGCTCAACACATACGTTTAACTTCTTTGTTCAAACTTCTGCCAATATTTCTTGTTCCAAGAAAGTTTTCTCAGCTTCCCATATATGAGCTTCTCTTTAAATTTTTCTGCCAGGTTAATTCTGACTCCTTTCAAGAGAGGCCCAATCAGTCTCTGAAAAATTTGCTTAGCCTTTGTGTTTTCCCATGGAGCAGACACACCAACTCTAGGTTCCCTGGAGCCTATGGTGGTGGTTCAGGTACTTGGCTTCCAGTGGGTGGTCTGTAAATTGAGAACAGTGAAGGGAGTCACCAACTCCTCTATTCAGCCAATCTGCTTATTTACATTGTAGAAGGCATCTGATCCCTTAAGGTTAGGACTGAACATCCCAAGAAACAGCCCACTTTCTGAATGGAGGCTATGCGTTTCTTTTTAAGGGTAAACCCCTCTTTAAAAAAATAAATACACCTCGTAATTTATTAGGCTGCTAAAGGTAACTCTGTCAAGAAAGCACTAGACTACTCTGCAATGCCATGTCTCATGTATGTCGTGTTTGTTTTTAATGGGTTTATTTTGTGAAAACTTCTATCCATTTTCTTTTCAGACTCCTTTAAAAATGGCAATGGTATCAGAATTCCTCAAGCAGGCCTGGTTTATTGACAATGAAGAACAGGACTATATTGTAAGTAGAGGAACATTAAAAGGATTTAGTGATGATATTAACTTAGAAATGAGTATTAGTGAATGGACATTAATTCATTTCTCTCTCATCCACAGAACACCGTGAAAACATACAAAGGAGGACCTGGATCAGCAGTGAGTCCCTATCCTGCCTTCAATCCATCCTCGGATGTTGCTGCCTTGCACCAAGCAATAATGGTTAAAGGTAGTTGTGCTTCCTCTACACAGTCCTCTCCTAGACGTTTCAGGGTGGCTATTTGAATGACTATTGAAAACAGACATGCGCAGTGGGAGGAGTCTGCTTCATTTCGCAGAGAAAAAGACTTTTTCATCCAATGAAGCTGTCTTTTTCTCCTTAGTACTTGAGAAATTTTGGTCAAATCAGTGGAATCCCTATTGCTGCAAGAGGACATCCTACATTTCTAGTAGAAACTCAGTATTGATATCAGCACCTCTGTTCACACTTATGGTTTGAACTAAGAACAGAAACTGAATCACTGAGGTCCAGAACAACTAATCGGTTCTCCCTTTCTCATCCAAGTGAATACAAAGTCATCCCAAATGCTTCCTTTGATAGAGCTTAGCATCTATTTCCTGGTCCGATATAATTTATATTACTTAGTTTATTAAGATCTTCACTTATTGATATTGACAATGAATCGTTTTATGCCAATTGTTGATGATGAAGAAATTGTAAATTCTGGTGGTCCTTCGTGTTCAGGTGTGGATGAAGCAACCATCATTGACATTCTAACTAAGAGAAATAACGCACAGCGCCAGCAGATCAAAGCAGCATACCTCCAGGAAAAAGGAAAGGTATGTTAGCTTGGTAAATTTAGATATTAATTTTGCTCATAATTATCCTTAAATATGAATTCTGAAACACAGCTACCTAATTCTTTCAGTTGTAACCTGTTTTTCCATTGTATCCATGAGTTGGTTGGCGTATTTATCCACTTTGTTGTACTGCATTAAATCTAGCCATTTTACTGGTTTCATACATTGGTGTGCTTGGTATAAATTCTTTGGTATAAATTCTTTGCAGAAGTGATATTCTGTATTTGTGAAAACCATTAATTTGAATACAGTAAACATTAAGATTACTACTGGCAACAAGGAGTATGTTTTGATTGAAATGTAACTTCTGTTCAAATTTAAAATGAGCTCTATATTACTTAACTATAAAATTTATATATAGCTAGCCATTAAAATTTACCTTTATATATTTTATACCAAATATAGACTTGTTTGAAAGCAATGCAATTAGAAAAGTATGCATGTCATTGTCTGATTATAGTACTTATTTGAATAGTGTCAGACCTCAAAAGCTGGAAAAACTATTGATGCTTTATTTTTAAGGGATTCTTAGTATTTTTTTCTGTTACTGCTCAGTTTCCCATGTTTTGTGTTTTGTGATTTTTTTCCCTATATAATAAGATTGAGGATCCTATCCTTTAGTATTTTATCAATGAATTCAATAAATTTCTTTCTAATCCCTCTGGATTGAAGATTAAGATAATATTCCTAAATATCTGATATACTTTTACATGCATGAAGGGAGAAGCACCAAAAGATGGTTGAGTTTAGGGATCAGTAGTAAGAGGTCCGAAAGACCAGGTCATACCACGTTGTTTTATCACCTAGCACAGTACTCATGAGATGGTCTGAATCTGCTCGTTTTTACAGCCTCTAGATGAAGTTTTGAAGAAGGCCCTTACAGGTCACCTTGAGGAAGTTGTGCTGGCTCTGCTAAAAACCCCAGCCCAGTTTGATGCTGATGAACTGCGTGCTGCCATGAAGGTAAATCACCCAATTTGAGCAAAACTCTTCCTCAAGAAAATGTCTGGGTTAAGTCTGCTTATGCTCCTTAATGCAATTTTCAAGCTCTAACCCAGTGTCTTTAAAAAGGGAAATTCACTGAATGAATAAATTGAAAATTAAAATAATTATTATATACATGGGAAAAAATTGGCACGATATGCTCTTTGAAATGTCACTTATGAATCAAATGCCTGCTTTTAAACAACTTTTTTTAAAAAAATTACTTGAAACAGAGCAAATGAGACAGAGAAACAGAGAGCTCACATCTACTGGTTCACTCGCCAAAAGTCCACAATAACTACAGCTGGCTGGGCCTATCTGAAGCCAGGCACTGGGCATGCAATCTGGGTATCCCATGCAATCTGGGCACCCCATTGGGCCATCATCTGCCTCTCCCAAAGGACTGCATTAGCAGGAGGCTGGAACTGAGAGCAGAGCTGGGACTCTGAAGCAGGCACTGTAATATGGGATGTGGGTAACTCAATTGGTGGCTTACTCACCGTGCCAAATATTCACCCCGTAATACCTGCAATATCACATCTTTATCCCAAATATTGACTGTAAAACAATTTTGTTTGAGAGCAATATAATAAATGTAGCTTATTAAAATTATTGAATGTTGTGGGTGAAATATACTAAATGACAGATTCAACAAATTTTGGGAGGCAACTTGTTGATCATCTTGAATGGAGATTTTTCTACAATTCTTTCTTTCATCTTTTCCAATTCAGGGCCTTGGAACTGATGAAGACACTCTGATTGAAATTTTGGCCTCAAGAAATAACAAAGAAATTAGAGAAATTAACAGAGTCTACAGAGAGGGTACGTTGTCATGTTCAACCATCCAATTGCTCTAGTTAGAAAGAAAATCTGATATCCTTTCTTCAAGCTCAACGTGACTGCTAAGCTCAATTGTGAATGCGGACTCTGAGAACTCAACGTGTTGAAGTATTTCATTAGTGGTTGGCACATGTCTGCAGAATACATACACTTTTACTAGTCAGTATTCAAGTTGCTAGGGTGCTGACAAGGGAGCCAGTGTCTCAACCCACATCAAGCTTGCTCTTTAATAGGAAATGTTCCTCTAGGACAAATAGTCACATACTTCAATTCATCACATTGCCTTTAAAGAACTTTCTAGAAGTGTGTTCTGTTATTCTGAAATTATTTCATAAAGATATTCTGTTGGCTTTTATTCTAAAAAAAATATGCCAGCAACAAGAACCACCAAACAAAATCTCCTACACTGGTCTTTGAAAAGGTTAAAAACAAAACAAAACAAGTAGCTAGGTGCTTGTAATTATCTGTTGGAAAACTCCCTTTTATCATAATGAACATGAGTGATTCACTTCCTCTTTACCTCTGGTTAGATCTGTGGGGTGAAGGGTGTGTCATGGCTCATTTTATCTACTTAATGAAACATCTTATTTAAATGACATGCCCAGCACTGAAAAGAGAGTGTCTGCAAGTCTTACTGTTTTCTTTCTCTACAGTTCCTCTGAGCCTCTGCACTTTTGCTGCCCCGACCAAACTCGTGGCACAATAGAGGATCCTTCTGCTTGATCCTCATGCTAGGCACAGGGAATAGAATACTCTCACATCTTGTTGTCAGAACAACTTATAAAGAAAAAAAAGGAAGCTTTTAACCTCATTTTCTATCATTTTTGACTCATTGCCATTGTTTATCATAGTTCTATGATACTTATCAATAGGGGCAATACTATGAGTTTGTTTGATAAAATACAGTTTATAAAAGTGAATATCCATATTTCTATATCATAGCAATATACAGTCCAGTGATAGCTCATTAAATTGCCCTGTTTCTAGTCAATTAATACTTTTGGTTAATTTTTTTCAGTTAAAGCATTATTTTATACAGTTAAGAAAGGGTGTTTAGATAGAGTTTTATATATAAATGCATACAAACACTGCTTACATGTCTGTGTATCATTAAAGTATGTTACACAATAAAACATTTATAATTTTTAAAGTAAATACGTAATTTATGCCCAAGCAAATAACTTTGTCTCATTCTTTTAAACAAGTGTTCTATTCATCCTGTTGCTTAAATTCTGTTATGTTTTATTTTAGAAATAATTGATAATGTACACGTTCTTATTAGTAAAGGTTTTATGACTATAGGCTTTCATTCACAGTTTTATACAAATTGTCTTCATTGCCCTATAGGAAATAAATTTGATGATCCAAAATTTCACCTGCTCTAATTTCTCTATTTTTAATTAATTAATTAAGCAAGTAAGTAATTTGAGAAGCAGAAAGAGATACACAGATAGAGAGAGAAATAGAGACAAACACAGAGAGAGCTCCTATCAGCTGAGGTTTACTCCCCAAATGTTCCTAATTGTAAAGGCTGGACTAGGCCAAAACTAGAAGCGGGGAACGCAACCCAGACATCACAGGTGGACTGCAGGGACCTAATTACTTGAGCCATCACCTGCTACCACTCAGGGTGTGCATTAGCAGGAAACTAGAATCAGGAGCAGAGTCAGGAATTGAATCCAGGCACACTGATAAGGGATGAGAATATCTTAACCACTAGACCGAATGTGCATTCCTAATATCTCTAGTTTCACAAAAATATAATATTTTGAAATGTGTTCCATGAGTCAATGAACACTGTGGCTTTGTAAATTGTGAGTATATAGAGATGTCAGATGTTATTGTTATTATTATACTGTACTATTGGTAGTATACTGCAAAATCTACTGTTCTTATTTCTCAGAACTGAAGAGAGATCTGGCCAAAGACATTGCCTCCGATACGTCTGGAGATTTTCAGAAAGCGCTGCTTTCCCTTGCTAAGGTATTACTCAAAACCCTCAGGAAATGCCTCTTCTTTAATGAATAACAAAATCATGGATTAATCTAAGATTTTTATTCTTTTAGTCCTTTTAAGTGTAACCATCAATTTACTCTCTACGTCTATGAGTTCAATTTTTTTACATGCCACACAGAAGTGTGGTATTTGTCACTCTCTGTCTGGCTTATTTCACTTACCGTATTGTCCCTCGAGTTCGTCCAGTGACAAGACTTCATTCTGACTCTCTTTCCCTCAACTAGTATTATTTATCTGATTGAAGGAAACCGTGTGATTACCTGCTACAAAAGAGCTTACAATAGGATGGAATATTTTTCAGGGTGACCGTTCTGAAGATTTTGGTGTGAACGAAGACTTGGCTGATACGGATGCCAGGGTAAGCGAGTGCTCAGAAAATATTTTCTGGAGTTGATCTTGCTATTATGTGGTGTCATCATTTGATGCCATCCATATGAAAGCAAATCTCTGATCCTTTCAGAGTCCAGTCACACCCTAGTGTTCATTTTCTAAATGAGGCACAGCTTCCTGTAGCCCAGGAGAGGAAAACACAGTCTTTATGCTGTCAATAAATTGCATTATTCATAAAGCCAGAGAGGATTGAAAGACAACAATAACAGTTGATTTGTCACCCCAGGAGTTGTTTTGCTGAGAAAACCCTCAATTTTCATTTTATCAAGTATTAGAAAGGGGAAAGTCATATTTCTTAAGTGAAGTGGAAGGAAGGAGTAAACACAGATAGTGTTCTATTAACCATATTCATTGAAATGCTTTATAGATGTATAGTGTCAAAATATTATTTCAGGGATATTAAATAGTGTAGAATAAGTTATGATACCATACTTATAGCCTTCAAATACAATATTAAATGTCATTTAAGTAAAGATATATATTTATATAAAAGAGAGATCAGTTCATTGGCAATATTAGAAAAATAATCCTATTTTCAGGCCTAGAATTTTTACTGTTTTGAAGAAACACACAAGCATTATCTGTATTATGCTTTCTTCATGGAATGAGGTTCTCTAAACGGGTCCATCTCGGTGAGTCAGTAGGGATACACTCTCATTTGTCCCCCCCATCCCCTGCACTGTACCAGCATATTATCTTGCACATACTAGGCACTAATTAACTTGTTGTTGAATAAATGCGCACAGATCAGTTTTCTTGAAAAGTCCAAAATAACTTTTATAGCCATCAGAATTTTGAATCATTTTATTATTAAACTGAAAATAAAAACAAAAGTTAACATTTGCATAATTGCTCATAATAAAAAACTGTTTTTATCTGCTTGTGACATTTCTGAATTTGCTTTCCATTTTAAGACTATCAGGGCTCTTATATGTGTATTTATAAAGGTTTCATGGATTAGTGTGACCCAGGAGGATGACAATAATTAACATTTCAAAGTTAGAAGAGCACGCTTATGACAATAGACCAGAAATGATCTTTTCCATGTATAAAAGAGAACAATCTGTAGTTTAGTAAGTTTAAATTATTTCCCAAGATTGCACAGCTTTTAAATTTGAATCCAGAAATTCTGATGTCAAAATAAAAGATCTAGCTACTGGTTGAATTATTGATTTGTAAGTATTGTTTACCATTAATTACTCTGAACAAGAAAGAGTGAAAAAAAAAACTCTTTGTATAAAATCCCTTGGAGGTATCCTTATGTAGAAAATAATCTTAAAGCAATGTAGTTCAGCAAATATTTATTCTGCAAACATATACTCAGTGTCTAGTATTTAAAAGGTGCCTTGAGAGATACCATGGAAGATACTTGACAAAATAAGGACCCTGTCTTTAAGGAGCATGCAGTCTTAATGTTGCTATTCTGATCATATCGTGCCCAAAGCAGCTGCCTAGAGGAACTTGGAGATCTCACATCCTTGTGCGGATAGTCAAGTATGTACTTTTGTTTCTTGACAGGCTTTATACGAAGCAGGAGAAAGGAGGAAGGGGACGGATGTGAATGTGTTCACTACCATTCTCACCACCAGAAGCTATCTCCATCTTCGCAGAGGTAACGAGAGGAAAAAAAAAAAAAAAAGCAGTTCAGGGACCTACTTACCTACTTACAGAGGATGCAGTTTTATATGTTGGAGACTAATAAGAGAAAGGAAGGGGGAAAATGTTACTCAGTGTCACTCCTGAAATGAATGAGTATGGAGCCCCTGATCTATTACTGCTGTTTGTGTGTGTCCAACTTTGTACATCTACCATCTGATATTATTGGAAACACATTTTGGGTGATTAAATTGTGTTTGCCCAAAACAGTAGGTGTGGCATAGGTGTGATAAAAGACAAATGTACAGCACAATACATGGAATTATAATGAAGAAAAATCTATGTAAGGGCTCTAGCAAAACAAGAAAAAAAAACAAAAACAAATTGTGGGCTTTGAACACATGATTTAACTCTGAGCCTCCTGGAAGCCAAGGCAAAGGGAAAGCCATGATGGTCACTTAAAGTTCATTATCTTATATTAGCACACTGATTTCTAATGTTAAAAGAAATTTACTGCACAGTTCTTTATATAAGTGCTGAGGCACTTAGCATTGCCGTAGTAATAACCATTATGGTTGTCAATTACCTGCCACTTTTAATAACTGTCAAAACTGACAAACATTCCCTTGAAATATGCAGAAGCACTCATCTGTCCAGGTTAGTTACATTCCTAGGAGAGGATAAAGTATTCATATTATGCTGAGTTGTATAAATATCTTTAAAAAGTGTGGATCAAGCAAGCTTGATCCACAGGGAATTCTTTAAATCAGTTGCTGTGCTTTTTGTAAAGTTTGCTAAAGAATACCATGTGTTGTACATCTGTTAGTTTAAATGTAATATTCAGTGTTTCAGAAATACAGCAAGTACAGCCAGCACGACATGAACAAAGTTCTGGACCTGGAGCTGAAAGGTGACATTGAGAAATGCCTCACAGCCATCGGTATGTAGTGCTGGGGCTGGAAGAGCTTTCTAACTATGACGTTCTTAATAACAGCATACAGTACTATTCCTCTTATAAAACTATGGCGAAGTAGATTGCATTTACTCTGTACCTGCTTATGCCAAGAACACGCCAAGCTAGGCACAACACAGGGAATTCAGAATGACCATTAACAGTATGGGATTTGGAATAGGTAAGTGTACATTCAAGACCTGGTCTGTCACTTTTTGGTTGTATGATCTTGGGCAAGTCCAGGAGAGTCTGACTCAATAGGTCTGAGCTGACTTTTGAAAACCTATATATTTTTAAGATCTCCTAGGTTATTCATCAAGTGGGGGACCTATGTTGTCACATGGGATTTCTCGATCATTATAATGGGTGTGAATCCCTGGGGAACTGTCCAAATGCAGATTCTGGTTGAATAGCTCTGTGCTGAGCTTGGATTCTGCATTTCTAACAAGTACACAGCTGATGCTAGTGCTGCTGGTACCTATATCCCACTTTGAGTAGCAAGATATAAAAATGTGCTGGCATTTTATTTGAGTACTATCATATTTAAAGCTATTCTACTCCAGAGTACTTTTAATAAATAAAAGTTTAATTAAAGTTTAATAAAAATAAAGTTTAATAAAAGTGTTCTTATTAAAACATAAGGAAAATTTATTGGTTTGTATGGCCTTTCATACCTACTAGTGCTCCTATTTCAAAGGAGAATAAATTCAAAACAGCTGTAATGATTGGATTTGCTTTTTGGATGGATTTAACATTATAGGCAGTAAATGATAGTTGTCAGGGGAAAGGATACTCAAAACCACACCCAGCATCACAAATATTCTCCACTTAGCCATATGTCCCATGTTGGGAGGGGGGAGTTGAGGAGCAGTGCTTGGCAAAGCTGTCATTCATGTTTCTTTCATATGCAAATTTCTTCTTTTGTGGTAAACGCATAAACTAGAATGTGCTTTTCTTACAGTGCAGTGTGCCACATGCAAACCAGCTTTCTTTGCTGAGAAGCTCTATCAGGCCATGAAGGTACCATTCTACTTATTACTGTATGCAGAGAGATGCTTATTGCGTTTGAAAACCACACATTTAATCCCTTCCCATCAAAGGGAATCCTTGTCCCATTGGATGTAGGAGGTAATATGCCACCTATTAGAATAAATTTCTTTTGTATTTGGTGCATTTTTTAGTAGGTGAGAGTGTCGAGTGAGCTTGATAACAGTTTATAGCTGACATGACTTAAATCCCTCATCACAAAAGCCACGGTGACATACTTTCTCTATTAGCGTGTGATTTTAGTAAACTGTTTCTACTTGGGTTGTGAGTTTCATAATGTTCACTTCCTAAGTTTCACTTGTCCTTTTTTATGATGCTATCTTTCATCCCACAGACTGTTTAAAATGTCATTCCATAATTACAGAAGTAGAAAATGTTATTAAGATATAAGACATATTTGAGAAATATCATTCAACTATTTCACTTAACTATCTAACTAACTTGTATGGTATAGTATAGCATGTAGACCAAATGAAGTCATAAAATTGTTTTTGTTTTCTTTTGCACTTGCAGAAGGAGACTTTCAGAGAGAGAGAGAGAGAGAAAGGTCTAAGCACTCAAACTAAGGAATCCCTATGAAATGAGATATAGTGTTACAAAGCAGTACAATTGTTGCCTAATGTGATATTTAGATGGGTAATGATAAATCCCTGATACTATGGGAGAACAAAGAGGAACATGTGTCCTAGTCTTTGAAAATTGATGTCATCTTCCCTTCAGTTAATCTAAGACCTAAAATATGAGTAGGGATGAACAGCAAGGTTGGTACAATAACATAAAAACAACATAAACACAAGTCTGAAGGTACAAGGTAGCATACCCTTTCTAGGTAAAGTTGCAATTAGAGTGATGGGGCACAGTGGACGATATTGTAGAATTAGGCAGGACATTGTAAGTCTTGATGAAAAATTAGTGCTTATCCTAAGAGCAACAGAGGACTACTCAAGTGTTTTAATAGATGAACTGAGATCAGCTTTACAATTTCAGAAGTTCACTTCATTTTTAAGTAATTATGAGTTATTTTAGACAAGAAAAACTGGATGATGGGAGAACAATAGGAGATTGTGAAAGCTCTCTGTACCTACTAGTAATGCAGCAGTTTTTCATCATTTCATTACCTACTTGTATACTGTGTGTGTGCTTGTGTGGGTGTGTATGTGTGTGTACTCATGTGGAGTTAGTTTTTTTATAGAAATTATATGGAAAAGTATGAAGGAGCTTCACTCTGAAATCACGTTCTTTAAGGAAAATGTTTCTGGTGTGAGAGACACTTGCCACCATTTGTGTTGCACAGGGTGCTGGAACTCGCCATAAGACATTAATCAGGATCATGGTTTCCCGTTCTGAAGTCGACATGAATGATATCAAAGCATTCTATCAGAAGAAGTATGGTGTGTCTCTTTGCCAAGCCATCCTGGTAAGCTGTTGTTTTCATAATGTCACTGTCACAAATCAAAGTTCTGTTTTGAGACATCTTCAAAGAGCTGAATTCCTGTATTTGTAAATGTCATATGTAAGATTGATTCAATATATGAAGGGGAATACTTTAAAAGTAAAACAAACTACACCCTACTAGTGATTTGTCTATTGGAAAGCCAGGTACATTGCTCAACCAAAATAATGGAAATGGATAGTTTCCCATGAATAAATTTAACCACCAACATAGTTTTAGAGCTTTTGCTAGTATAAGTGGGCATCATAATTTATTTTGTAAAGGACAATGGTAAGAGGGTTAGCAAGTTATTATTTAAGGTATTTCTTAATGTTGTAACATGAAGAATGTTTAAAATATATGTTCAGGTTAGTTCATTAGAATATTGAAAAATAAGAGAAAAAAGGGTTTTAAACATTAAAATATAGATAAGTAGATAAGTATTTAAATTCACTTTACTACTTGTATTAGATAACAAAAAATAAGAAAAATATAAGAAAAAAATAAGAAAAAATGAAAATATTGTAGGTTTAAAATTCTCTTTCTGGTAAGTGGATCAAAAGTTTTCTCATATATGATATAAGATTGTGTTGTGTTATAATTATTCAATTCTATGTAATATTATATTATTTTATATTATTCTCATTCCTTAAAAATATTTGCTCTAATATACACTTGATCTTTCCCAAAAGACTGAGAAGTGAAATATTTGCTCTATTATAAAGCATACTTAATTCAGGGAAATTTATAATCTGAAACTTAAAAGCTATACTTTTATGTACAACAATCCAGATATTTCAGTTATCTGCTCCATATATTATTTAATTAAATATACAGTATTTATATCAAAGATCACATATCATTGCTATGCTACAGCATGTGATCTTATCTACAATTAAATCTACAAATATAATATTTGTTTTATAGTTACGGCAATCTTGTATTGATTACAATCTGGGCTTGCACATTCATTGTCCTCCATCTTTGCATCAACAGGATGAAACCAAAGGAGACTATGAAAAGATCCTGGTGGCTCTTTGTGGAGGAAACTAACCATACCTTTGAGGGTCTGAAATATTATGATCAGAAGACTTTCTATTCATATCTTTTCATTGTATAACATAGGCAGGTATCTTTCTGAAAAATATAGCCTATAAATCATTTTTATCACAACTCTGTGTAATAGAGATAAGCTTGTTTTTTTTAGAAAATATGTTTACCCTGATGATAAAATCTCATAAAGAAGTTGTTCTAGTAACATTGCCTGAGAAAACAGTTGTGTAGCTTAAAATAAAATGATGTTATAAAACACTTGGTGTGCAATTTTTTTTGTATTCTATATTTACTGTCACATATCAGAGAAAACATATGATATTTGTCCTTTTGGGACTGGCTTATTTCACTAAGCATAATGGTTTCCAGTTGTATTCATTTTATTGCAAAAGATAGGATTTCATTCTTTTTTATGGCTAAATAGTATTCCATAGAGTATATATACCACATTTTCTTTACTCAGTCATCAATTGATGGACCTCTGAGTGGATTCCATATCTTAACTGTTGTGAATTGAGTGTAATAAACAGATAACTCTTTCATATGCTAATTTCATTTCATTTGGGTAAATTCCTAGGAGTGGGGTATCTGGGTCATATGATGATGGTGGATCGATCTTCAGATTTCTGGGGAATCTCCATACTGTCTTTCATAATGGTTGTACTAGTTTACATTCCCACCAATAGTGTATTAGGGTACTTTTTCCCCACATCCTTACCAGAATTTATTGCTTTTTGTTTCATGTGTAATCCAGTGGTTTAATTGGAATTCAAGGGATAGGAATCGAAATCCTAAAATAAAATTATTTAATGAGATAAACTTTGCATGTTCAATTAAAGATATTATTATAGAGGGGCCGGTGCCGCGGCTCACTAGGCTAATCCTCCGCCTTGCGGCGCCAGCACACCGGGTTCTAATCCCGATCGGGGTGCTGGATTCTGTCCCGGTTGCCCCTCTTCCAGGCCAGCTCTCTGCTGTGGCCAGGGAGTGCAGTGGAGGATGGCCCAAATACTTGGGCCCTGCACCCCACAGGAGACCAGGAGAAGTACCTGGCTCCTGCCATTGGATCAGCGCTGTGCTCCGGCTGCAGCACGCCGGCCGCAGTGGCCATTGGAGGGTGACCCAACGGCAAAGGAAGACCTTTCTCTCTGTCTCTCTCTCTCACTGTCCACTCTGCCTGTCAAAAAAAAAAAAAAAGAAAAAAAAAAGAAAAAAGAAAGAAAAAAAGAAATTATTATAGAGGAGCAAGCATTAGGCCAGCAGTTAAGTTCCCATATCAGAATACACATTTGAGGCCTGGCTCCAATCTTGATTCCAGCTTTCTGCTAATAAACACTCTGGGAAGTAGCAGGTGATGGCTCAATTAATTTAGTGCCTGCCACCCATGTGAGTGACCTGAGTTTGTGTTCCCAGCTATCAGCTTTGGCCTGGCCCAACTCTAGCCATTGCGGACGTCTGGGGACTGAACAGTGGATGAGAGTTTTGTCTGCCTATTTTTCTCTGTATGTGTATATGTGTGTGTCTTTTAAAAAATTAAAAAATATTTATCTATAGACTATTTTACTATATATAGTTTGAAAATGGACTTCTTATTCTTTCATCTAAATGTTGTGGGAGAGGTCCTGGGCGGACTTGATCTGGTTTTTTATCTCCACGTGAGAAAGAATTCAAGGACGAAATGTGGATAACAGTGGGCAGGAAAGCACAACTTATTTAAAGGCAAAAGGAAAGTACCCAAGAGCAGTTACACACTCAGAAGGGTGTGCCAGAAACCTCATGGGAGGGTGAGACAATTAACAAAGTTCAGGGACTCAGGGTCTCCTACTTTTATAGGATAGAGGGAGTTTCCTGGGTGGGGCTTAACTGGGCATTCAAAGGAGACAGGGTTTGGTGTGGGCTAGAGTACTACCTGTTTTCATGTCCCTGTTCTGGAAATCTCAGAAGAGTCATGCTACCAGGTACATGATGTGAATGAGTGTGACAACATCCTAATTTCATTATCATCATGGGCACCCAGCCTGCAACCATGTTGGCTATTTCTAGTTGATGCAACCTCTTGCCAGCATTTGGTGTTGTCACCGTTTTGTATTTTAGCATTGTCTATGTTTATTGTTGTTTTAAGTATTCTTTGTGTAGTCTAGCTATTAGTCTTTTGTCAGCTTTGTGGTTTAAAAATATTTTATCTAAATCTATATCTTGTCTTTTCATCTTCTTAATAGTCTTTTGAAGAGCAAAAGTTCTAAATATTTATGAGGTCCTATTTATTTTTTTCCTTGTATAGACTGACCTTTTGTTGTCATGTCTACAAACTTTTCACTTAATCTTAAGTCCTGAAAAAAGACCTCACCTCTCTTTTGCTAAAATCATTTTTAAGAAAAGATTATTTACTTATAAAGCAGCATGAGAGAGAGAATTTCCATCTACGAATTCACTTCCCAATGTTGATAACAGAGCTTGGTCAGGTTGAAGCTGGGAGCCAGAAATTCCATATAGGTCTCCCTTGTGGCTGGCAGGAACACAATTACTGAAGCCATCACCCCCTGCTTCCCAAGCATATTACCAGGGAGCTGGATCAGAAGCAGATCAGCTGGGACATGAACCATCCCTACCAGTGACTTAACCTGTTCCATCATAATGCCCTCCTAAAATCTTACAGTCTTACATTTTACATGTACATTTTAAAAAATATATTCTGAGTTAATTTCTGTATAAAGTGTGATACTTAGGTCAAAGTTTCTCTGTTTTGTTTTGCTTATCCATATCTGTGTGCTCACACACCATTTGTTATTTGTTGAAAAGGCTATCCTTCCTGTATTAAATTCCTTTTATACTTGTGTTAAAAATTAGTTAGACATATTTGTTTTGGTGTATTTTCGTTTTTAATATTTATAGAGTCAAAATTGAACTATTCCTGAGGCTGGCCTTGTGACACAGTGGATTAAGCTTCTGCCACTTGTGATACCAACATCCTATACGAGTACCACTTTGAGCCCTGATTGCTCCACTTTTGATCATGTTTCTTGCTAATGTGTCTGGGAAGACAGTAGGTGATGCCCTGAGTGCTTGTGCCCCTGCCACCTACATGGGAGACCTGGAGGGAGTTTCTTGCTTCATGGAACTACCTTGTTAGATTGAATCCTCACTCGTTCCTCCCCTTAGTTAGTGTTAAAGAAACTGTTCATGCTGGTTAGTCCCCTTTTCCTCTGTGACCATGGTTTGCTCTCACAAGGTACTTGCTTCTATATCAATTTCATCTGTTTTCAGGTTTTTATTTTTCTCATTATTAAATAATAGAGTGGACATTAATTTCCATGACACATTTCTTCTCTTTATATTTTGTCTGATGCATCATGTAACTTCTCTGTCCCTTGAGTTAAGTGCAACCACCACTCCCTTTCTGTGACTGTCTGCTGACTTTCTTCTTTTCAACCCTTTATGCCTAACTGGGTAACATACTAAAGAGGAACATATAGAACTATACAAGTGTTAGAGTATGGATTGAGAATGGGTAGAATGCAAGGAGTTCAAGTTTAGAACTAGGCAAGTGGCCGGCGCCGTGGCTCACTAGGCTAATCCTCCGCCTTGCAGCGTTGGCACACCGGGTTCTAGTCCCGGTCAGGGTGCTGGATTCTGTCCCGGTTGCCCCTCTTCCAGGCCAGCTCCCTGCTGTGGCCAGGGAGTGCAGTGGAGGATGGCCCAATGGGAGACCAGAAGTACCTGGCTCCTGCCATCGGATCAGCGCGGTGCGCCGGCCGCAGCGGCCACTGGAGGGTGAACCAACGGCAAAAGGAAAATCTTTCTCTCTGTCTCTCTCTCTCACTGTCCACTCTGCCTGTAAAACAAAACAAAACAAAAAAACTAGGCAAGGAGCTTTGGGGCTCTGATGGGAACAGAAACAGGAGGAAAAAATGTACAGCAATCTTCTTATTGGTCACAATCATCCTGATCAGGAAGCCACAATTCAGTTGTCTTTAGGACCTCTTCTGAGACTTAAACACAAGCCTCTCCCTTCTTGACCAGGGAAGTCCCTTACAGTTGCAGTCAGATGATAGTGAAAGCTGGAAAAAGAGTTGCCGGGACAGTTGAGAACTGTCCAGGCATTTCTCTCCTTATGTAATAATCTTAGAGCTTCTTCAAGCATACTAGATTGAGCTTCTGCCAGGACAAAGACCTCAGGGAAATAAGCAGGTTGAGACAGCGCACTGCTCAGGGCTCCAACACAAGTGTTCCAGCTGCCAAGGCTCCATCACTTTCAATGACCCCGCCTCCAAAAGTCAGACAACTCATGTGATCTGCCACATTCTTTCAGTTGTAAGCAACTGACAAGCCGGCTCAGGTTCAAGGAGATGGTAATCAGACTCTACTTCTTTAAGAGCAAGCAGCAAGACCCTAAGGGATTTGGGAGAAAATAGAGATAATGATGTAGTTATTTTGAAGAAACACAGTTATCCATGTTTTTTACAAAAGTATTTCATCACATTCCATGTAACATTATAGACAACACCCTCTGCAGAGTGGCTATGAAAATTCACCGAATTCCATTACCTTAAAAAGGAAAGTACTTGTTCTGCTTCCTGATTATTTTTAACACAATAAATAGATGATTGCCTTGGGCAACACTTGTGTGAGGGTGCTGATACAGTATACTCTATTTATAGGCACATCTACTTCATGGTATAGAAGGTGGCACTCAAGAAATGAAAGTTAAGGTTAATGTTTCATGTAGCAATGCTAGAGAGAAGAAAAAACATTTCTACATATTTGCTAAGAGCTTTTTTATAATGCAGGAGCAGAGTAGTACAGAGGTGTAGTGATGCAGGGGCAGAGTAGCACAGAGGTGTAGTGATCTGGGGGCCAGAAATTTGAGTTCTAATCAAGCCTCCACCACTTCTTATTTGTTAAGGGGTCCCAAAGATGTTACTTGCCTTCCCCAAGCAAAGGAGATACAGAGAACACTGCCATCTGCTGGTTCACTCCACAAATGCCTGAAACAGCTGGGTCTGGGATGAGGCCAAAAGTCAGACACAAGGAATTCAACTCAAGTCTCACCTATGGGTGTCAGGAGCTCAATTACTTGAACTCTTGCCTCCCAGGGAAGCAGGAAGTTGGAATTAATCCCAAGAAGCTGGGTGTCAAACCAAGGTACTCTGTTGTGAAATGTGGGCACCCTAGCTGGTGTTTTAACTGCTAAGTCAAACCTGTCCCTAAACTATGATTTTTCAGTAGTTAAACAATATTACTACCACCACCACC